CAGCCTGACCAACATGGAGAAACCCCATCTCTACTAAAAATACAAAATTACCCCAGAATGGTGGCACATGCTTGTAATCCCAGCTACTCGGGAGGCTGAGGCAAGAGAACTGCTTGAACCTGGGAGGCAAAGATTGCAGTGAGCTGAGACCACGCCACTACACTCCAGTCTGGGCACCAGATCAAGACTCAATCTCAAAAAAAAAAAAAAAAAGTAAGAAAAGTAAATACTTGGCCTCAGAACATAACTGCTAGATGGTACTTCTAAGCCAGAGCTGAGCTACATTAAACTCAATTCCCTAACTTTCTTTAGAATTTAACCCAATTTTACAATCCTTGTCGTTACCACCTAAAATGTTTGTTTGTCTGACTTCATTTGGTTTATTTAATTTTGTTTATTTATTTAGATATAGATAGACAGATCCAGGGTCTTGATCTATTACCCAGGCTGGAGTACAGTGGGGTGATCACAGCTCACTGCAGCCTCAGCCTCCCAGGCTCAGCTGTTCTTCCCACCTCAGCCTCCCAAGTAGCTGGGACTACAGAAGCATGCCACCACACCTAGCTAATTTTTGTATTTTTTGTTGAAATGAGGTTTCGCCACATTGCCCAAGAACTCCTGGTCTCAAGCAATCCATCCACCTCAGCTTTCCAAAGTGTTGGGATTACAGACATGAGCCACTGTACCTGACCTAAATATAAATCCAATCCCTTACGTCAATTCTCACCCCCATACTACTACTATGCACACTCTCCCTTAATCTATACCCCAGTGCTTCTCTCCCTCCTAACATCCTCTAGGTCCTCTGGAACTCCAAGTGTGTTCTCATTTCAGGGCCTTTACACATGTTCTTCTCCTTGTCTGGAATATTTTTCTCTGTCTAAATCCTACTTACTCTTTAAAGCTTAGTAGTCATGCAACATTCTCAAAAAAACTTTTGCAACTTCTCAGACTTGCTTGGATCCTGCTGTTACATAGTCATATAGTACCCTGAATCTTTCATTTGTAGCATTTTTCATAGTCAATTAAGTAGTTAGAAGTTTAATTAGTCCACCTCTGAATAAGCACCATGAAGACAGGAACCTGCTGCATCGCAGCATCTAGCATACACTCTGGCACAGAACAAGTGCCCAATAAATATCTACTAATCAAATTAGTAAATCCCTCTAAACCTCATCTCCTTATCTCTGAAGAGTTTGTAAAAACATTTATCTTATAGACTTGTTGACATGATTAAATTAGATAACATATGAAAAGAGCTAACAAGTACAAGCTGCATTTCTAACGGGTCAAATTGGTAACAATGATGATAATGGTGGTGGTAATGGTTCAATTCCTCATTTGTGAAACAGTGTGTACCTTAGGGTGCGAGAGATGCTAAAGATAAAACCATTAACAAAAAATAGAAAAGCTCCTCCAGAGCCTGTGGTCTAGTGGTGACCAGGAAATAGCCAACTTCTTGACTATTCTGTGCTTTTGGACTTCCTGCCCTTCTAGGTAATCTAGAATATGTGTACCACTACTTCAGGTCTTTTAATGTTCTCCTAATTCATGTCTGTTGAATGAATTAGGAGGACATTTTGTTCATATGAACTCTGTTCCACTTTTGCCTTCAAATGCTGAAACCTGAAAACATCTTATCTCTGAGATCAGTCCCTCAGGATGTTTTCTCCTGGGCTGACATATTAGACACAACTTGGCACAGCATTAGTGATCACAGCCTCTCCCCTAACCATACCCTTATGATTCAGGAGTAAGGTAATTCCTGAGAAAATATTGGTGACCTCAGACTGAGTGGCATCTAGACCTGAGCTTGACACTCCAGAGCCATATCGTTTTCTGTGCAAAATAACTGCAGGTGATTCAATACTCATTTCCTTGGTGCATTCTAACTTCCCCAGATACCATCCTGCCATTGTGATCAATCAATACACTGATCTGATAAATATCAGCATTAGTGTCTTATGTGGTTCTACCCTGCTGAACTCCTGTTGACTCAAAGAGGTATTGGCTCTATCCAGTTTTATTCTAGCAAAGCGAGGCTCACTCGTCTAAATTTGAGATGAAGTTAGGCACAAAAGGGCATGTCTGATATCCCAGCAATTCAGGAGGCTGAAGCGGCAGGATCACTTGAGCCCAGAAGTTCAAGACCAGCCTGGGCAACATAGTGAGACTTTGTCTCAAAAATAAAATTTTAGATTATTTGTAGCCAGAAATTTCTTAGGGTCCCAAGGAAAGAGCACTGAATTAAGAGTTAGAAGTTACAGTCCCAACTCCACCATGTGCTTACCATGTAATATCAACATTGTTCACACAACTTGGGAGGCCGAGATGGGAGAATCACCTGAGCCCAGGAGATTGGGGCTGCAGTGAACCAAGACTGGCTACTGCACTACAGCCTGGGCAACAAAGTGAAACCCTGTCAAGAGAAAAGAAAAGAAAAGAAAGGAAAAGGGGAGGGGAGGGGAGGGGGAGAGGGGAGGGGAGGGGAGGGGGAGAGGGGAGGGGAGGGGAGGGGAGGGGAGGGGAGGGGAGGGGAGGGGAGGGGAGGGGAGGAGAAACGGCAGTGGGGTCTTAGGAGTACAACTAATTTAGGTTCTGTTCAGGAGTGGTGGCTCATATCTGTAATCCCAGCACTTTGGGAGGCCAAGGTGAGAGGATTGCTTGAAGCCAACAGTTTGAGAACAGCCGGGGCTACAAAGCAAGACCCCATCTCTACCAAAAATAAAAAAATGACCCGAGCATGGTGGTGTGCACCTGTAGTCCCCGTCACATATGAAGCTGAGTAAAGAGGATCACTTGAGCCTAGGAATTCAAGGATTTAGTAAACTATGATTGTACCATTGCACCCTAGCCTAGGTGAGAAGTAAGACCCTGTCTCTAAACAAAAACAAAAACAAACCCTAGGCTCCAGTCATTCATTCAAGGCATCAGTATGACATTAAAATCTCTGTTACATGCCAGACATAAGGCTTCCATTTCCTCGTCTGTTGCATCTGCCAGGATTGTCTTGTGATACGGTGACGATCAAATGAATTATGTAAATGAAACTTTATTAACTATAGAATAATATCAATATTCTTATTTGCATCATCCTTCATACCTTGCAAACTACTCCTATTTACATTATCCTCTATAATCTCTACAATTCCATGTGGTGAGATCATCTGCATTTTACAGATAGGAAACTAAAGCAGTAAAGTTAAATAAATTGCCTACAAGGTCACAGCAAGAGATAGATCTCAGGTCTGACACAATCCCAAGGCCTTCCTTATAAATGTAAAGTATTGGCCGGGCGGTGGCTCATGCTTGCAATCCCAGCACTTCAAGACCAGCCTGATCAACATGAAGAAACCCCGTATCTACTAAAAATACAAAATTAGCCGGGTGTGGTGGCGCACGCCTGTAATCCCAGCTACTCGGGAGGCTGAGGCAGGAGAATTGGTTGAACCTGGGACACAGAGGTTGCAGTGAGCTGAGATTGTGCAACTGCACTCCAGCCTAGGCAACAAGAGTGAAACTCCTCCGTCTCAAAAATAAATAAATAAATAAATAAATGTAAAGTATTAACTAACACTTTAAGACAGGCTTGCATTTGGCATATAATGATGAGGTTAGCTGACTAAAGCAACTAAGGAATAACGAAGGAGTCTGCAAGAGAACAGTGGCATCAGACTTTGAGAGGCCCTATATACCCTTGTATCTTTAGATGCTGGCCTTAATGACAGATTTCCATGGGCTCTTCTGGAGAATTGCATGGTCAGAAAGAGTATTCCTTGAAAAATAATCCCTCCCTTTTAGCATTTCTCAGAAGAAGGCAAATCAAGGAGTGTAGTCACCAGTGTGACCATCTTTAACAATGGAATTTTGAAACTTTCTGCTTTTTTTTTCTATTATCTTGGCATCATATTTAGCCAAATTCTTACAAACTGGCTAAGTGAATTGTTTCATAAAGGATGAAGTGAGGCATGGGCTCTTAGACATTCAGGGGCAGCCCCAAGGTAACCACGGATAGATCCATGAGCTGCAACGACCATGCTGACCTATGAATCATGAAAATATAGTCCCCACAATTAATGCCTAAAACAAAATTTTAATATAAATTGCTAAAATGAGTCCTTAAGCAGCATAATACAATTGAAAGAGCACAAATGAAATCTGTTAAATCTGTTAAGGGAACGGGACAAAAGCCAAGGAACACATTTATAGTGGTTTATATGGTTTTATGACAATCATTTCAATAAAATAAGGTTTTGGAAATGAAAACAGTTTATTATTGCCAGGGGTGGCTCACTCCTGTAATCCCAGCACTTTGGGAAGTCAAGGCAGGCGGATCACAAGGTCAGCAGTTCAAGACCAGCCTGGCCAACACAGTTAAACCCGTCTCTATTGAAAAATACAAAAATTAGCCAGGCGTTGTGGCATGCACCTGTAGTCCCAGCTACCAGGAAGGCTGAGGCAGGGGAATCGCTTGAACCTGGGAGACGGTGAAGCAAGATTGCACCACTGCACTACAGCCTGGGCGACAGAGCCAGACTCCATCTCAAAAAAAAAAAAAAAAGAAAAAGAAAATGTAGTTTTTATTATTTCTCTTTCCTTATTACCAGGTAGCTTCACATCCTTATCAGTTCAGCAAGTCTGCATTCTTAGACAAAATTCTAGAAGCTGATGACTAAATGCAAATATAAAATGACCTGCTCAAGGTCATACAGTTTATCGGGACTATATCATGGTGTCGTAATTCCCAACGAGAAGCTCTCCCCTTTCTAGGCACTGGGTGGAGAGAGTGCCATGTGGTGTGGGCGTGGTACGGGTCTGTTCAGCCGAGTTCGCCCGGGGGGCGGGGAAGGAATTTGCTCAGCCCCTTTAACACGCATGTGCTGCTGGGAAGGACGTTGGGCGCCCTAGTGTCTCACTCCCGGATGTCAGCTTGCCGCCAGCTCCGGGCTCAGCACTCTCCACCATCTCCCTGCGCCCCGCGTGCGTGGAATCTACGTTACCTTTTCCAAGGTTCCGCTCATCCTTTGCTGCTGCGCGGCCTCTAGCTGTGCAAACCGAAGATCCGCCCCCCCCGCAGCCGCGTTCCCTGGGCGTCTGAAAACACTAACAGAACGGCCTTGACCAAGTGCAGCAACAAAATCCGACCGAGACTCACTCAACTTCCGCATCACTTTAGTTCCGGAAGCTTCTGAAATTCAGCCTCTAGATATTCCGCTTTCCGCCCACAGTCAGGTTGTCACCTTCGCTGCTGTTTCTCCAGGCAGAATTAATCGCCATCTCTGGGTTACCCCGGTACTTTGCACACAATTCTGATTTTTCACTTACAGTACTATATACTAATTATTTATTGCCACCTCTTCTCTATTTGAAAGAGTTCTTAAAAGACTGAGATCCCGTCTGATTAATTCCTTTCAGTGTCTAGGACAGATCTGACTTTTTTTTTCTTTGAGATAGAGTCTAACTCTGTCACCCAGCCAGAGTACAGTGGCACGATCTTGGTCTCACTGCAACCTCCGCCTCCCAGTTCAAGCAGTTCTCCTGTCTCAGCCTCCCGAGTAGCTGGGACTACAGGTGCCCGGCACCATGGCTAAGTTTTGTATTTTTTTGTAGAGACGGTGTTTCACTACATGGTCAGGCTGGTCTCGAATACCTGACCTCAGGTGATCTGCCTGCCTTGGCCTCCCAAAATGTTGGGATTACAGGCGTAGGCCACCAACCTCAACTGCACAGATCTAACTTCTAACCTCTATTTAAGAGTTGACTGACTCTAAGTGAACCTTCTGACATTCAGTTGCCTCATAATAATTTAGAATTAAACTATTTTTCGAGTGAGTAGCCACTATATGCAATACATAATGCTCAGTGCAGCAGTTTATTCATCACAGCATGTTAAGGAGATATTATCATTTGACTTAACAGATAAAGATTGAATCAAGAAGTTAAAGGACTTGACTGGGATCAAATGAAGCAAAGCGAATTTCAGATTCTGTCTCATTTATGCAGTGTTTTCCCTCTGACACACTCCTCACATGAGACAATACTGTTACCAAAAGCTTTCATTTACTTATTTTATACATGCTCAACCAATTGTTTAGCATAATTTTGTGCCAGTCCTTTGAACGAACGGTAGGAACACAGAAATTAATATTATGTGACCCTGCCATTAAGTGTCCCATAGAGATTAGCAAGGAGTCAAAGTCATAAGCAATTATAAAACAATAAGGAAATTTAAGTTACAGAGATATACTCATAAACTCTGTATACAAAGGGAGCACATGAGCACATAAATTCAGCATCAAGTGAAATAACAAATATGCAATTGTTTTTATTATTGCTGTTACTGTTGGTTCAGCCACTGTTATTGTACTTGGTGAGGAAAAGATGTAAAAACTGGTAAATACGAATAGAGATGCAATCATAGAAAGTTTAGTCTGTTGTCAGAATCCTTGCCAAGATCCCTTATCATGTTTTATCAATCCTTCCTATGATGAAATTCCAAGGAACTACCAAGAGCTATGTGGGTAAATCTCTTTCCCACAAATGTAGCCCTTCTTCCCCTGACTCCTCAGGCAGAGCTGCTAGGAGACTATGATGGTTCATTTTATACATCAATTTGACTAAGCAGTGGGATGCCCAGATATATGGTCAAAGTTATTCTGAGGGATGTGTGAGGGATGTATTTTTAGATGTCATTAATATTTAAATCAGTAGACCCAGTAAAGCTGATTGCCCTCCCTAATGTGGATGGGCCTCCTATGTACACACATGATATACATTATATAGTGTGTATGTGTGTATACGTATATATGTATATATACATACATGATGTGAGGTGTACATATACTCGCTGTATACATATACACACAGACACATATGTATGTACAGGCATTTACTGCGTAACGTTGCAGTCAGTGATGGACTGCATATATAATGGTGGTTCCATAAGATTATAATACCCTATTTTTACTGTATCCTTTCTATGTTGAGATACACAAATACTTATCATTGTGTTAAATTGCCTACAGTATTCAGTACAATAACACGTTGTACAGGAGCAACAGGCAATACCATATAGCCTGGTTGTGGAGTAGGCTATACCAACGGTCCCCAACCTTTTGGCACCAGGGACCAGTTTTATGGTAGACAATTTTTCCATGGACTGAGGTGGGGTGGAGGATAGTTTTCTGATGAAACTGTTTCACCTCACATCATCAGGCATTGTATTCTCATAGGACTGCACAACCTAGATTCCTTGCATGTGCAATTCACAATATGGTTCAGATGCCTATGAGAATCTTTTGTTTTTTCTTTGAGATGGAGTCTCGCTCTTGTCTCCCAGGCTGGAGTGCAAAGGTGCAATCTCGGCTCTCTGCAACCTCTGTCTCCTGTGTTCAAGTGATATTCTCCTGCCTCAGCCTCCCTAGTAGATGGGATTATAGGCACACACCACCATGCTTGGCTAATTTTTTGTATTTTAGTAGAGACAGTGTTTCACCATATTGCCCAGGCTGGTCTTGAACTCCTGATCTCAGGCAATCTGCCCACCTCCGCCTCCTAAAGTGCTAGGATTACAGGCATGAGCCACTGCACCCTGCCTTTTTTTTTTCTTTTGAGATGGAGTTTCGCTCTTGTTGCCAAAGCTGGAATGCAATGGCACAATCTCAGTTCACTGCAACCTCTGCCTCCCAAGTTCAAGGGATTCTCCTGACTCAGTCTCCCAAGTAGCTAGGATTACAGGAATGTGCCACCATGGCCGACTAATTTTTTATTTTTAGTAGAGACAGGGTTTCTTCATGTTGGTCAGGCTGGTCTCGAACTACTGACCTCAGGTGATCTGCCTGCCTCAGCCTCCCAAAGTGCTGGGATTACAGGCATGAGTCACCATGCCCAGCCAATCTCTCTCAAATTGAGGTTAGAAGTCAGATTTCCAGTCCTGTGCTAGATGCTAGAATGAATTAATCAGACAGGATATCAGTCCTTGAGGAACACAATCAAATATGGAGAAAATATAGTAACAAATAATTAGTATCTAGCATGGTAAGTGAAATACTAGAATTGTGTGCAAAGTACTGAGGTAAGGCAGAGATGACAATTAATTCTGCTTGGAAATATAATGGACCAGTCATACCTCCTCCCCTACAGGTATTGAGTTTTGCCTAATAAAAGCTACTGGGGTTTTAGGAGTGAAATATTAAATAAGAGAAAAAAAAAAACATCAGGCCATGCGTGGTGGCTCACACCTGTAATCCCAGCACTTTGGGAGGCCAAAGCGGGTGGATCACCTGAGGTCAGAGTTCGAGACTATGGAGAAACCCCATCTCTACTAAAAATACAAAATTAGCTGGGTTTGGTGGTGCATGCCTGTAATCCCAGCTACTCAGGAGTCTGTGGCAGGAGAATTGCTTGAACCCAGGAGGCAGAGGTTGTGGTGAGCAAAGATCGCACCATTGCACTCCAGCCTGAACAACAAGAGTGAAACTCTATCTCAAACAAACAAACAAAAAATTCAATCAAATGCTAGTATGTGCCGGATCAGTTATTTTTGGGTGTATGAGTTCATTCAGTCTTTCCAATAACCCTATGAGACTGAGGATCATTATACCCATTTGTTTCTTTTTTCTTCTTCTTTTCTTCTTTTTTTTGAGATGGAGTGTCACTCTTGTCCAGGCTGGAGTGCAGTGGCACGATCTTGGCTCACTGCAACCTCTGCCTCTAGGGTTCAAGCCATTCTCCTGCCTTGGCCTCCCAAAGTGCTGGGATTACAGGCGTGAGCCACCACACCTGGCCCATTATACCCATTTCATAGATGAGGAACAGAGGTAGGAAGAAGGTACCTAGTTTACATAATGTTATATAAGTGGTGAGCTGTTTCATTTCAGTGCCTGTGTTTCATCTGTTTTATGGGACTGTGACTCTATGTTTGCAAAAGGGTAGCTTGGCACCAGAGAGTTTCTTCCTTGTCTAGTCCAGGTAAATACAATGTAATAAGATACAAATCCATCTTTGTGTTAATGTACTGAGATAGGAAAGGTGAAAGGAAAGGGAAAAGGAAGAAGGAGATTGTTAGTCGTTTGTATGAAGATACAAGGATTCACAAAACAACTAGAATTTTTAATTATTTTTTAATCTATTTTCTATCCTTAGAGGAGAACAACTAGAATATTTTTAAATGTCAGGAATCTAAAACCCAAAAGCGAGGTGAATTCAGCATATATAAATACAAGGCACCTTAGCAAAATCCATGCATGTATTGGAATGGATATTTTTGTTGTCAAGCTCTGTTAATGATGTTATGTGTTATAAAGGAATGAGTTTACTGAGCTTCCCAGAAGGACGGTTTCATAGAGATGTAAGGAGAAATCCTTGCATACCTAATATTCTGTAGCTTCTCTGGCTTATTTTGTCTTCAGCTAAAAACAAAGCCTCCCACCGATTTGGGGAAACCAAGACAGCTCAACAGAGGCCTCTTTCCAGGTACTAAGTTCTTCTGATTTTTACTTCATCCTTCTATAAATCATGAGCTCCACTGGGTGCGGTGGCTCACGCCTGTAATCACAGCACTCTGGGAGGCTGAGGCGGGCAGATCATGAGGTCAAGAGATGAGACCATCCTGGCCAACATGGTGAAACCCCGTCTCTACTAAAAATACAAAAATTAGCATGGTGGCATGCTCCTGTAGTCCCAGCTACTCGAGAGGCTGAGGCAGGAGAATTGCTTGAGCTCGCAAGGCAGAGGTTGCAGGGAGCCGAGATCACGCCATTGCACTCCAGCCTGACGTCTGGCGACAGAATGATACTCCGTCTCAAAATAATAATAATAATAATAATAATAATGAGCTTCCCAAGGTTAAGGATGTGTGTATCTTAATAATCTTTTACTGTTTTGTGGTTGTTAAAGTTTTGAGACAGGGTCTTGCTCTGCTGCCCAGGCTGGAGTGTAGTGGCATGATCATAGCTCACTGTAACCTCAAACTCATGGGCTCAAGTGATTCTTCTGCCTCAGTCTCCTGAGTATCTGGGACTACGGCCATATACAATTATGCCCAGCTTAATTATGTATTTATTTTGCAGAGAGGGGGGTTTGCTATGTTTCTCAGGCTGGTCTCGAACTCTTGACCTGAAGTGATCCCCCTACCTCAGCCTCCAAAAGCACTGGGATTACAGACATGTGCCACCACACCTGGCCAATACCTTATTTATCTTTGTATCTCCAGCATCTAGTCCAGGGCTCAGCCCATGGTAATATGCATCTGGTGAACTGAACTGAAAGCTCCCTCTTCTTTCTCTTTGCTCCTACCTATAACCCATTTCTACAATGACATTTCTTATCTGCTTCTTCACAAACAGCATAGTAGACACACAGGGATGGGAGAATGTGCATAGAATATGGGCTCGGATTCATTCCTGCCTCTGCCATTTACTCACTGTGTGGTTTTGAAAAAGAAAGTGGTGACCAAGCGAGGTGGCTCATGCCTGTAATCCCAGCACTTTGGGAGGCCGAGGCGGGCAAATCACGAGGTCTGGAGTTCAAGACCAGCCTGGCCAATTATGGTGAAACCCTTTCTCTACTAAAAATACAAAAATTAGCTGGGCATGGTGGCACACACCTGTAGTCCCAGCTACATGGGAGGCTAAGGCAAAAGAATTGCTTGAACCTGGGAGGTGGAGGGAGGTTGC